CAAATATTTATAATCATATTTCATACATTTTATCTATTTTATTCTCACCTTCCTTACCTTACCAATTCCAGAATTAAAACCTCTGATACCTCCCGGTACCGGGATTTGAACTGGTAATCCTCAGTTTATCTACTAGTATTTGCGGGGTAACGTGCTGCAAACGCGTTAGCCCACTCAGTCACTCTACCCCCTACGTATTTCACATATACAGTATTGATTATTAAATCAAACCTATAATTTTTTTTAGCAAAGCCTAGTTATCTGTTAGATATTATCTGGCCTGTATGGTAACTTAATAAAAAGGAAGCTGATAAAAACAACATATGATCATAGTGTGTAATTTAGATCAACAATGTTGAAGAGTGTGAAACGTAATTCTATTAGTATGGATTTAGGTATTATTTATGTGTTTAGGTATCAAATTCTGACTTAAAAAAAATTGTACTTTAAGTAAAGTTGTACTTTAACTTTTTTTAAGAATTAGAAATTATCGATAGTTATATCAGTATTTTATATTTTCAGGCTAATCAGTCAGCGTAACTTAAAAATTTGCAAGTGAAATTGACGTCAGCGAATACTTGAAATTGATAAGGTAGTCGGCTGCATTCCACCACACATTTCCACAGCTACTGACAAATAGATTTGCTTTTATTTTTCTCATGGCGTTAGAACTCGGTTACAGGTCTTGGCTTCCTCTATCCGTTTCCTCCAACCGTTACGGTCTTTTGCCGACGCCATCCAGTTCTTAACTCCCAGCACGCTGCCTGCTTCTCATGTCACACCATCAGAACATCTCAACTTTGGTCTCCCTCTATTCCTTGTTTCATGGATTGGCTGTGTAAGCAATATTTTAAGCATTTCTCCATTTAAGCATCCTGCCAATATGCCCTGCATACTTTAAGCGCCTCAAATTCGTTGCTTTCACAATATCATCTTCCCCGAAAGTATTGTCTGAACAAGGCCTGAGTCTTGATTCGTACGCCGCTTCCACTCCTCTCCAACTTTCACTTTACCGAAAACACGGCGGAGAACTTGTATTTAAAAAATAAGGAGTTCTTTTTCTGTAGTCTTCGAAGTTGTTCAGCACTCCGATCCATAAAGAAGTAACGGACGCACCAATGTCTTATAAAGGTGGAGCTTGGTCTGTCTAGAAAGTATCCGCCTGCTTAGCTACTTGCTTAACCCAAATTAGCATTTTTTGGCTGATGTTATCCTTCTTCTTATCTCTATATTGAAATTATTACCTTGAGTGACTACAGAACTCAGATAAGAAAACTCCGAGACCTTCTGAAATCTATAAAGCCCATTAGTGACTGTCTCGCCTGGTATGGGAATTTCATCTGCTACCATATATTTCGTTTTGGGTTCATTAACTACCAGTCCAAGTCTGCCATGACCAGCCAGTGCCAGAAAAGCATCATTCACGGCCTGTAGAGAGCGTCCCACAATTTCTATATCATCAACCTAGGCGAACACTTGGACAAGCCTGGTAAATATGTTTCCCTATCGTTCGCGTAAACCAGCATCTCTTACCGCCCTCTCGAGTGCAAGTTAAACAGCATAAAGGCTAGCGCATCCCTTCGTCGTAGCCCTTAACCTGCACAATATTCCTGGGATCTGTCACCATTTACTCTAACTATACACTTCACATCCTTCATGGTAAGCTTTAGCATTTTTTTTTTTCCTGTATGTCTTCTTATTTCTTTAACCGCTCCTTTATTTTTTTAATCAGATTTATTAAAATCAAACCATTCCTTTTTCATTAGAGCGCGAACTTACAAAATAGAAATTCTTGCCTGTGCCTATGGTCCCAGAAGGACTTGAAGTTGATAAAAAAAGTTAATTTGAAACTCATAAACTGCAATGATTGCAACGATGCAATGATTGATTTTCTTTTGAAAAGTTGCTTACACTCCACGGGCGGATCTACGGGGGGGGGCTTTCGGGTTGAAGCCCCCCCCCCCAAAATGGTAAAACATTACCACGTTTTATGGAAAAAAAAATTTAAAAAATACCTCTTAAAGTATTATTGTTGGTGTAATTACATTTAAAAGGACTTAAGGAATCACTTAAACACCATTTCATATAGGTAGTTACTTTCTTTCTGTTTTTCCAAAGTAAATATCGTTATTTTTATCGAAAAAAAAGTTTCCGGGCTGAAGCCCCCCCCCCCAAAATTAAATCCTGGATCCGCTAGTGTTACACTCAACAGAGTCAACGACAATCCTAGTTAAAATATTCTCTGGTTTATTCAATTCACTGAAGCATTTTGCATTTTTGAGGAACTCATGAATGATTATTCGATTAACATGCCAGTTGAAACTCTACAAAAAAAAAAAAATCCTCTTATCACTCACAGTGAAAAATTTTAAAACAAACTTTTTAAATATGACTTATTCATATAGCTATGTGCTCTTCCATATATTGAATAAACAAATGGCACATTTAATATACTTTGAACCTGCCTCAACACATACGAATAATGATCCGTGCCGGCAAAGGAGAACATAGAATGTGGAACTATTTAGATATGGTTTAGAATGAAACAACAAAGCTTGCTTAAAAACAAAATAAATAAATAAATAACCTAAAATTATTTTGAAAAAACGCCTATTTTGTTTTTCTTTTTAATAAATAAATATTAGTTGCCCAAAATAAAATACTCTCTTTTTCTGGCCGAAAGACAAGCTAGTGTTCAAAGGATTTGAACCTGGTGTGTTCATGACAGGAAGCCTGTGACCGCTAGACTACTCGTCTTCCTTCGAGGAGTTATATTCGTAAGTTTTGCTGAATGAAATTGCTATATTTTTATTGTACAAAGCACCAAAAGTGATTCGATTATGAACTATTCTAATGATGACGTGATAAGAATGCCATTCGTGTAAGAGCTCTAACTTATCTCGCTGAGGCTAGAACAAATAACAAGGGCTAATGGACTTAACCACGGAACATCTCGTGTCAGTCACCAGCTGGCTATGGCTCCTATGTCTTATTTTGGCAGTTTGATTAATCAAAATCCTGGGTCATCAAATGACAGGGATATAGTCAGTCACACGATAGGATTAGCCTCATTATAAATCCTTGCAGCAGTCCAGGTCCACATTTACAACGATCTTGCTCCATGTAGATTTAAGAAGTAAATTTTTCCAATATTATAATTCCATCCATATGCTATCATGATCATAATGTGGTCTTCACATGAATTATCTATTAAGATAAGCTTGGTGTTTCTTTCGTCAAAATAAAAGAATATTTTCTCGTTGATCGAAACCTCAATAGACTCCCGTTTGGTCGGCCCGTTTTTAGCTTATAAAATTATTTTAGCTTGGATATGATGTTCTAGAAATCAATCTTCGTGTTTCATAATTTAAGTTCCTCAAGAATTTTCATAAAACTATATGTTGAGACCACCTTTGTCTATAAAAATTAAAAAAACAAAAATAATTATTTTTAATATACCTCCTTTTATAAGATATTTATAATTTGTTCACGTCAAATCATATCCTGTTAAATTTTTTAGACTGAAAGCTTAGTGTAAATGAAAAAATATGGTGCGCTCATCACACAACTCTCACTTACCTCTCTACTTTGAATAGAAATTATGTTTTGGCAATATTGGGCTATTACAAAGATTTTTAACATTACAGCTAACCGATAACAACTCAATAAGGCCATTAAAATAACACAAACCAAATTTATTACATCCACCATATTATAGGCATTAGAACCTAAGAACTGCATCTGTTACTGTAAACCACATAACTCCATTCTTTGAGCTGTAAATGCTTAGAATGATTTGAAACTACATCTGTATTTTTAACCTGAATGATTATGGATTCTATTAATTGTATTGCTGTTGGTTATTATACTCTTATTTTCTCATAACAAAAGTTGACAAAAATGGATTTACCAGATTTTCATTGTCTACTATTGGTAGATCAAAAGTTGTCACAATAATTGTATGTGAATAATGTTGTGATTTCACAGAGGGAAAATACATCAAATTATTCATTAATTTAGTTTTTTAAAATGTTACATGATGATTTTTCTAAATTAACTGACGATTTTCCAGTTACAATAGAAAATATCCAACTAAGCATATATGTATTTATTTAAATGCAATTTGGAATATAAAGACAAATCTTTTCTGACATGCTGTATATTAATATAAGATGGATAGAAGACCATTAGCTGTTTTCAAATCGACTCCGAGGATGGGTAAAGAGCCTGAAAAGTAAGACAAAAGAAATAGAGAAAAAAATTCATTATATTTATACCTAAAACCAAAAAAAACTTTTCCTTACTAAATAATTTGAAATATCAAATAATATATGAAGAAAATAATAATAACATTATATTTAAAATAGTTAAATAGGCCAGATATCACAGACCCCTCAGCTATCACATACTAGGTTGAAATTACTTGTCATTTGATTTTAAATTAACATTTTACATATTTAACTGTTTATTTAACCTAGGTGGTGACCTGAATCAATTCTATTTTTATTTTAAGTTTAAAATTAAACTAAATTATTAAATAAGAATTATTTTTCAATTGCAGAATTTATAATGAGATATGAATTTTGAAAGTTTAGGATGTTCATATGGATTCAGTATTAAGCATTAAGTATCCATACAAGAAAAAAATATAATCTGTTTCATGTATCTAATCGTATATGTAGTTGTGATATTTAATGAGTAAGTTGAAATAAGTTATAGAAACAATGGACAGACTATAAGTTTTCATGACAGCAATAAATATGAATAAAGACACAATAAATGTAGATAAATATTTAAAAAAACATTTGTTAAGTACCTCTAGATCCTTGTATCATATTCATAGACTGTAAAATTAAAAGTTTATTCTGATAGGGTACTGTTCAAGTATTATTTGTGGTATTTGTGATGTTTTATTTGAGGATTCATCAATAATAGGTAGGTTTGGCTTGCCAATTGTTCCTTATGGGATATGCTTTTAATATTGTTTTTTTTATCTTCAGGTGGAAAGACCCATGGAGGAGATCACGGATAGGCCTGCTTACATTGGCTTTCTTGTCGTCGCTTTGCTTCGCTTCATTCCTCCTGAGCCAGAGGTTCGTGACCACGCTGCCGGCTTCACCCTACACCATTGGCAGGTCCATTCAGGTCAGCTTCCATCTCTCAATTCCTTCTTCATCTGTCAGCTATAATCAGGTATAGGGAAGGTGTTATTGGTAGGCTGAATATATTTATTAACTAAATTAGCCTCAATATATGTTTTAATATTTTATAAATAGTCATTTTAATTATTTGCAAATTTGATTGAGATTTTTTTAAGCTAAATCAAATCTCTACTTCATCATGTTTAATAAAATATCTTAGAGACATAATAAAATCTTCCTTCCCAAGTCAATAATATTATTAATTTGTGTTGTCATTTAATTAAGTAAAATTTATTTCAATAATTCTCTTTTATCTCTGACTTAGTTTCTGAGAGTATATCCTTCAATAAATATTACAATCCACTTTTTAATATATATAGATTATGTTGACAAAGGAATGGGAGTTGAAGAGTTTTGACAATCTTGGCAGTGTAACTAAGTTGCCTATAATGCCTTCCTAAAATATTTATAAGTATAATCATTAAAACATGGATTTATAAATTAAACTTTTCTGAACATTGATTATCTATTTATATCATACTTCCTCATGAATGAATTGATTTGTATACAGGGCAAATTCTTAAATTATTCCAGACAATTTGCCATGAAAATCCTAACAATTATACAGTCCTACAAGAGAAAACAAAATCATTTTTTTTTTATGCATAATCATGCAACCAGTTGTTTTAAATTGTTAAAAGTTTTAATGATAGCAATTATTTATTTTGTAGTATTAATCAATAAAAAAAAATCAAAACATAATAGATACCTACATGAAAAATGTTGCTTTTAATACATAATGATTAGTTAACATAAGTTGTTCTCAACATTGAAATTGAAGACAGCTGGACCACACTTTATTATCCTTAAAGCTGTTTTCTTTCTTAAACACATTTGTAACTCCATCTTATCCACAACCCATTTTTCCCTGCTTTGGAAACTTTACACGACAAAAATGATCCCAAACCTTCCAAACTTGCCACTAATACTTCATTCTCTCATCCTGTTGCACTTCTTTCTATTTACCAAAATATATTTATATAACTTCTCCTAAATCAAAGCCTAGTAAGTAGTGACACAATATCAGTTTCACTCCACTGTGTCACAGTGTTATCAGATAGAGGATGGATGCTATCTCTGTTTCTTTTGTAAAAAAAAAATATATTACTCTGCAGTCTACCTTGTCATTGAAAAAGTCTTTGATGGTGTCTGACAAAAGGGCTTATTATAGAACCTAAAACCGGATTTACCTATAATTATTTTGTAATTATTCTATCCTTCTCTCTTGTCAGGTTTTTCTGTATTTCTGTTAATTTTTCTGTTTCCTCGTTCATTCTTCGAAACACTGGGATACTACAGAGTAGCATTTTAAGCCCAATCAACACACCACAATACTGTCTTCGCATAGAAATCCAATCGATTTTCTTTTTAGCATTTATTATTCTTCAGAACCATTTGTTTTACATTAAAAAGTGTTCCATAAATGAAAAATTAAAATAAACGCTACTAAATCAAGCCACATAAGTTTCTCCTTAAGGAAAGCTTCATGTATACCTATAACCATTGACCACAACCCAGTGCTTATAAAATACTATATAAATTACCTAAGACTCTACTTATACATAAGACTTACTTGGAACATATATACAAAATTAAAAAGACCAGAACTGACAAACTGACAACACTATATAATCAACTTTCGCATCTTCTGAACTATAAAGCCTTACTTAAATTACAAAACAAGCGACTGATCTAAAACTCTATACTGAGAACAATTAGGCCATACAGAGCAAAACTTCAGGGTACAGCAAAAAAAGCGCACATAAACAAAATACAAACACAAATCAAAATTCTTCAAAAAATTGTTAATGTGCCATGGCATATTTCAAATCACACTATATCTTAGGACTTACAAATGTAAACAATAAAACCTTTATCCACTACAAATACACTACATTTCATTGTAGTACTCAATTTTTTTATTTATTTTAATGAAATTTACAACTGTATTACATAGAAAATACAACAAGTAAATGTGACATTGGTAACATGACATGTACAACATGAAGAGAAACTACCCATTGGTAGAACTCAAATTAAAGTTCTATATTTGAAGGTCCCGAGGCCATCTTCTTTTCAAGCGCCTCGGAGGGTTATCAGGGATCGAGGAGGAAGCCAGGTTTGAAACGAGAGGGTTCGGATGGTTCTGCAGTTTGTTATGAAAGGATAGGTATCTGGTTTGGGCCTAATCGGAAACATATGGAACATTAAGGTCTTTATGGATGATTTTATTTGTGACAAACTAAGAAGCGTTGAGGATTTTACAAAGGATTTTGGATTGTAAGGATTGGATACGAGAGGAATTCGATGGTTTAGTTTAGCCCCAAAGCTCAATTCCGTAAATCGAAATAGGTCTTATTATTGTCATATACATGAATCGTTTGTAATTGATTGAAAGCTTAGAACGTTTGTCTAGTAAGTGCTGCAATAGTCGAAAACATCGGGCGGTTTCTAGTCGTTTCAGTCTGGTATGGGGGTTTCAAGTGAGTTGTTTGTCAAGGTGGAGTCTTAAGTATCGGATTTGTTGTACTCAATTAAAAAGAAAATGACCAAAGATCTTCTGCTTCACTGATAATTAAATCAAAGCCATTATCAAGTAAAATCAAAGAAACAGTTATATCAAATTTGCTAGATGTGCTTTGGCATAGTTGCTATTGGAATAAAAAAATAAAGTAAATTAAAAATTTTTTATTTAATATTCCGATACAAAAATACAAAATACAATGATATTTTCTTTATTTAAAAACGTTAACCTGGAATTGTCATTGGGGAGGCATCTTGAAGTTAGGATCATATTGTAGATATTTTTTCAGGAATGAAGTATTTTATAAAATATTAAGCCCAAAGGTATGTGATGCATTCAGATAATTTCAATGACAACATGGACTATTAAAACTACTCGTAGTGAATCCAATTTAAGTAATAACATTTTAGTGATTGAAAAGAGAATCTAATGATGTTGGGCATAATAAGCAAATTCTTCAAAAAGTACAGAGCCTTAAGCCAAAGGGTTAACATCCTGGAGAATAGATAATGCATAGATGGAATATTTCTTTAGGTTTGATCTTTTCAATTTAATATGATCGTCTAGAAATCGAATCTCTTTGCAATAACTGAACTTTGTTCTGTTTTATTTCATATATTAGAAGTATTATCTATATATCTTTACCCATTATATGCAGATTTCAGGATCCTTTATTTCAGCAATTATCAATATGATTTGTTAATATATATATATCTATATATTAACTAACATTTTGAATATTGATTTTTTTTTAGAGTTTGCCGAGTAACGAGTTGACAGAAGTTGTCAACATATCTCAAGATATTGAAGATGTACTTTCACTCCAGAAAGAGAAGATTGTTGATGATATTTTAAAAAGCTATCATTTTCCTGGAGGTCCTGGTTTAAGAAACCAAAGGTTTGTAGCTATCAGAGCTTTAAATAAATATTATTAGATGATTACAAAAAAATTAGAACCTACTTTATACATTTAAATATTTTAGTGTTTTACTTTGCATGCTTTCAAGAATTTTATTTTTGTAAATTAATAAATGAGAAATATGTTTAAATTTATATATTCAGTAAAATTTAATTAAAGATATTGAATATTTAATAGTTGACCATTGCATTATAAAGGAAGGAAATGGTCCATGGTGGCAGTCATAAATAGGCTAAATAGTGGCAAAACTATTTTATTAAAAGCCAACGTTTCGACCTGACTTTGCAGGTCTTCTTCAGAACTAGAACAGACAAGATACAAAAAGGTATATCTCTGTATCTTTTTCTATCTTGTCTGTTCTAGCCCTGAAGAAGACCTGCAAATTCAGGTCGAAACGTTTGCTTTTAATAAAATAGTTTTGCCTCTATTTAGCCTATTTATGACCACCATCCCACAACATCTCCTTCCTTTAATTAAAGATAGTACATCTTATAATAATACTAATTTTTTCAGCAGGCCATTATCTGATCTGGTTCCTGTACTTGGTGGCCAACCATTGAGAAGCGTGATAATTGCGACCTGGAGGTCTGGCTCTACATTTCTTGGTGATATTTTAAACAGTGTTCCTGGTAACTTCTATCATTATGAACCACTCCTCGATCATGGAATAGTTCAAGTACGAGGACCACCACGGTCCAAAGAATCTCTGCGCTATATCAGAAACTTGCTTAATTGCAACTACACAGATATGGGTAAGTAATAGAAGTATTTATCTTACTTACTTCAATGGCTTCTACAGCCCAGTATGGATCCTGGCCTCCTTTAAGAGCTTCTGCTATTCACACCTGTCTCTCGCCACCAACTAACCAAGGAACCGACTAACCACTAACACAAACTAACCAAGCGGTTTCACCATTGATCTATCTCAACCTGGGTCTTTCTCTTCTCCTTGTTCGGTCTAACACCCCCTCCATAACTTTTCTAGTTTTCCTCTTTTCAGCAGGTGGTTCTTCATCTCTCTTGTGAGCCAAAATAGCACCGGTTTGCTGCCATTTGATGTTGAGGGTTAGATGAGGTGACAAGCATTCCTAGATTCACAAATTTTGGAATCCTTTCAAAGGGGAAATTTCCTATTTTGAGAGCTGAGTTATTCACCTGGTTATCCTCACCATTCACCACCAGTTTTGGTCTCATTAACATCTAACTCAGTTTAGCTGAATGAAGAGCAAGAATGGCATCCTCTATAGCTTTCCTTGACCTTACCACTGTGTCAAAATCATCTGCAAAGGCCAATAGTTGAATACTGAGGTCTGTATACGGGAATGTTGAAATGACTTTTCCCGGGCCAGTATGAGGCATGCCAATCCATGACCTTAGCGTAGACGTTTTCTTGTCCAAAACTCCCTTGAGTAATCTGCTTGAACTCTGACCTTGCTGCAAATTTCTTACATGGTCATCTTTACCAGTCTTGTCAAATTTGAGATATCACCAGGTAAATCAGGATTTCATATTAGTTTAATCGGTTGACACATTCATTAGCATTCCTGAAATCCAGGAATAAATGGTGGATTGGCAATCTGTACTCGATTCTTTTCTCCATTATCATTCTCAAATTGACCACTTGGTCTATGGTGAATCTTCTTTGCTGAAGCCTGTCTGATACTCCCCAACTATTAGCTTATGAGGATAATCTGTGGTGTAGAATAACAGAAAGAACTTTGCCGGTGCTCAGTAGGAGATAAATCCCACGGTAATTCCATTACATGCCTCATGATTATGAGAAACTAAAATCATAGCTTTTCAAATTTTAATATTTTAAATTTTTGTTTAGAATTATTTCAGTCTAATTTTCAGTTTTTTTTAGATAAATATTTGTCATATGGACAAGACCATACCTGGCTGTTTACTCACAACATTAGACTGTGGGAGAAGTGCACAGAGTACCCCCATCTCTGCTGGCTGCCAATCTTTCTTAACCGATTCTGCTCTCTATTCCCATTTCAGTCAATGAAGTTGGTCAGGCTTCGACTCAAACTGGCTGAAGAGCTTTTAACAGATGAAAAGTAAGTATTTTCTAATAAAATTAACACTTGAGGATTTCAATATGAATTCAATAAAATTTTGTAAAGATATTGTGTAGATATGGCCTAACTACAAAAAGATGGATTATTTTTATTTATCAGAAATTGTATAAATAACAAACTCAAGTAAGTTATTTTAGAATAAGGTAAAAGGAAAGAGAATTTTTATTAGAGCACCAGGATATTAGAGTTTAAATAATATACTTAAAATAGGTACTACTAAATTACCTGATTCTCATAAAAAAATACAATTATAACCTGTGAGTAGTCAGGATGGGAGGGGAAGGAATGGATATGCACCATTTAAGCAATAAGGTAGTTAAGATATATGTACAAATTAATATATTAGGTAATGTACATTAAGTTATATATTGATACAGAAAAATTTCTTTCCATAGCTAGTAACAGAGTGGCATTTCTGCTAGATTTCATACGGTGAGAGAAAGAAAATACCATTTCAATCATTAAGCCTAACCAATATGATGTTACAATATATAATTTAAGAAGGATCTTCATTGCATTAAAAATGTGTATCCTCATTTACTTCTCCATCAAAACAATTATAAATAACAAAAATTATCGATGAAGCGTAAAGGAATCTAACAGACTTCAATGAAGTTAATTTCATTTTAAACTTTTAACTGCCTAATAAATTTTACATAAAAATTTGAATTCTACTCCAATGGTTAATAAAATGATATATAAACAAGTAAGAAAGAAACATTTGTTTGTAAAAAGGAAGAGGTTTTGCCAAGTTATTGTTAATAAATTTCATAAATTACAACTTGGTTGAAGTACTATTGAAATATATTTTATTTGTTTCTCTGAAAGGTATTAATAAAATTTTTGTAGCATAACTTTTTGCTTTTGATTAAAAAATTTGATTGAAGGTGTATTATTATCTTCTTCTGATTCTTCCTCTAACTCCTGTGGCTGTTGAGTGTGGAGTTAGTATTATCTTGAAATATTAAAATAAAGAATGTCCCAGAAAGGTAATAAATTTCATGAGCAAAATTAACCAATAAAATTAATCTATCATGAAATACAATCATACTTTAAACTTTATTTGGTATGACATAATCTTAAAAATAGTGGTTGCTTCTATAATTTCAAGTTTACATTAAAATATTTTAAAAAATACATAAATGTACACTCTGAAGTCTAATTTAAATACTCATTGTATTGGTTTTAAATTTTATAAGTTAAAATTTCATTAAATTTATCTTTTTTCTGTTCAAAAGGCTTGGAGTGAAGGTGGTTTTAGTCGTACGAGACCCAAGGGGAACAATGCAGTCAAGGAGACATCGGGACTGGTGCCCCGGAAACCCTGACTGTGATGACCCAACACTACTCTGTGCAGACCTTGTTGCTGACTATTCAGCAGCTCTTAGTTTTATCAAGAAATATCCTAAAAAATTCAAGTAATATATTTAATTCTTGAGATATAATGTTTTTATTAGTATATATATTTTTATAAATGTATGATATACAAATACATATATTTGTTAAGCTTTAGAGAAATTATTTTGTCTTTAGTATTACTATATCGAAAAATTTATAAATTTAGGTAAACTTTAAATAATTCTGAACTGATAGATTAACATTTAGTTTTTTATTTAATTAGAAAAAAACATTGTTTGCCTTTTGGGGTGAAACTGATAATCCTTAATTTGATATCAGGTCCTAAAATATTAAAGCTATTAATTAAGAAGATTTGGTGAAAAATCCGGTCTCCTTACAGCTCTGTGTCCCTCATAACTTCACATAACATAGCCACTATGCAAAAGACAAGTGAAAAAACTAAGAGTATTCATGAGACAAAATAAATTACTTATTTTTTATTTTATAAACTAGATTTACTTTTCCATTTTTACTGCATACTTATGACAAGAATGTATTAAAAGTTTTTGGTTTTTACATCTTGTTAAAATAAAAATGAATTAGATATATTTTTGATTTAACTTTATTCCTATTAATAATTATATTCTTCAACAATTTTTCTGACTAAGGTTTTTAACTCTCACTGAACATTTATTTTATTCATTATTTTTTGATATTGAACCTTAATAATCGACCAACAAAAAAAAGTTTAAGTCTCTCTCTCAAAATTTAAGGTTATGCATTTCACGATATTAAGAATTAAAAAATTGAGTGTATAAAGTCAGTCTGTCCACCATCTGTGACTTTTCTCCGAGACTAATGGGGGAATTTCTTTTGGATTTTGCATCTTAGTCACAGGTCCTTCCAGGGATTATTCTCAGATTCCAACATTAACTCCCCTCCCCTCCCACTGATTAGGGGTTACATAGGCTTGTATCTTGGTCATTGAGATACAGGCTAAGTATAAGATGTTTTGACATTGTTTGGGATTTTGATGATGTTTTGGGATTTTCCTTTTTGGGGAACTACAGAGCAGCCATTTTCTTTTCCCTGCACTAGTAGAACTAGATTAGTTTGCCTTTTAATTGTTCAACATTAATTTATCAAACCCTTTTTACTCACTTCCAATGAAGGTGTACATTACAAAATGTAAATCAGTTATCACTATAACTTATTCTCCAGAACTGGCATACTATTCTATTTATTGATGAAACACTTAATTGATAATTAAATAAAACATATTGTATATGTTTTATATATAATTTTATAATTGTTTAATTATATATTTATTTATTTTTTAGAATCGTTCGGTATGAAGATTTTTCTCTCGATCCTTACAAGGGTACTGAAGATCTTTTTAAATTCCTTGGTGTAAACTTTGGACCAGAAGTAAAAAAGTTTCTAGATACTCATACGAAAGCTAACTCAGGAGGAGTTTCAAGTACATTCAGGAACAGCAAAAATGCACCTTTCCATTGGCGATCAGATTTATCATTTTCCGAGGTTCAGAATATTCAGAGAAAATGTTCGTCAGCCATGGATCTTTGGGGGTAAGATTTTTATTTATACACTATCTTAATCTTATTTTTTAACAAACTGATCCAGAAAAAAGCACAGAATATATAAAATACAAATTTGATAAATAAAAAACAAAACTAAATATAACATTGACCCACAAAATATGTCAAATATGCTTAATAATAAATGAAAATGTTTAAACAACTTACTTATGGACAATAAGTGAATACATATGATTTGAACCCTGTTTTCTAAAAGTGTTTAGTCACAAGCATAAACATTTACACTGAATATTGCAACAAGAAACCCATCTAAGTCATTTTTCACTGCTGGAAATTCAAACCAATACAAAATGTTTGCAAGAAGTTGTTGTTTATTACTTTTAATAACCCATTATATTATTTTTAAAAGAGTATGGGATGGCCTGAACTGAACCTGATATCAAAATAAAAAGAATTGTAGAAATTTAAATCTGCATGTAAGGTTGTTTGGCTAGACAAAGACAAAAGACAGGCCATTTGGCATGTACTCTATGCTAAATCAAAGTGTGAATATCTAAAATGGTGATAAGATATTATTTCCCTTGTATAATCAAGGAAACGTTGGTGCAGGATGCGTTCTAGAAAGGAAACACAATAGCCTTGATACTTGATTCATACCCACGTCTTGATCCAAATTGCAGATCTTCATCAAGGCTAAGCAAAACCATACAATCATTAAAATTTAAAAGCAACTAAGAATAAATATAGATGTAATTATAAATAAAAAAAAACTTTTTTTCTGAATAAAATATTATACTAAGAAATCTATGAAAATGATTACTACATTAGATTTGAAAACTATGTATTCATAAATATGAAAAATTAAAGTTAAAATAATTAGAAATAGATGAAAATCTGACATATGGATTATAAAAAATACCTAGATTATAAAAAAAAAAATAAAATAAATTATATAAACATAAGGAATGCATAGTGGAGTGGGGTAGTTCAATGGGTTGGACTTTCACAGCTAAAGGTCCCGAGTTCGAGTCTAGCTAATAGCAATTAAATTATTTATGCTGTTTCATCAGTCATATATCAGCCCTGGGATTGGGAGATACTCCTGGGACACACCTAGCCTTTATAAATTGGATAATCTTTATTAATTAATTAATCAAAGAGTAAAAGTTGCGGTTGAGCGTAATCTCGGACATATCACCTTTCTGCACAACTATTGAGCAACAAACAGTATGTCTCAACATAGTAATACTGGTACCTTCATGGGTAGTGGTACAGATTTTTTTTTTAAGGAATGCATAGTAGAGCAGCAAATAATGTTGGTGTGATAATCATAAGTTAACATCATGTATGAAATAAAAGATTTATATATAAATGTTAAAGAGAAAAAAAAAGGAAAAGAGAGGGTATAATAATTAGAAAACGGAAAAATAGTGAGTGACAATACAAGGGAGTTGAAAATATCAGGAGTAACTTCTTATAAAGCCATAGTTAGTATTGCCCTCATGACATTAAAGATAACAGTGCAATGGGATACATTAGAAATTGTTGAAAATAAGTTATAGTATTACATTAATTTATGTTTCTCTCTTGACCCCGCCCAAAGCAACTTCTTGATTTAAAATGTTGATATTAATAAGTTGTTAGTAGGTATGTTAACAAAAATTGGTACTATTGACAATTAAAGCTTGTGTGCTTATTGTTATTAGATGAAAACTGTTTTTTTCTTGTTTTATGTATTCTTTCATTTGTTTTTGTTTTTTATTCATAACTATTAATTTTATATCACATTCATAAAATTGTTTTTTCTAAATTTCATTTTTACACTTCTATTACCTTGACGATACTACCTAAGATTTAGTTCTATTTCTTCAAAATATAGATGAAATATGTATAACTGTATTGCTCAATAAAAACTGAAATACTAATGAATATTTACTGTTTTTTGGGGGGGGTGGGTATTTATTAAACCCGATAATATTATAACTGACACTGTTAAAAAGACTCATTATATTATATTACTAATTAATCGGATTTGTATTATTAATTAAACTATTTACATGAATTTCAAGACAATTTACATTTATTATAAACAGCTTTATTAAGGTTATTCATATTTTTAGTGAGATTTATTATATATAATTATTATATTTAACACACTAATGGTAACACTCACAACAGTAATTGTAATACTGAGTCGATCTGACCAGGTAATAATTCTCTTTCATTTGTATGCTATTTTATAGATTTGGAGGATGAATAACATCATAATATACATATATTTTTTAATATTTATTACTTAAGTAGTTTTCTGAAAACAATAAAATAAAAACAATAAAAAACATAAAACTGAACAATAAAGAAATTCTTGGAGTACAACACAAAGTAAAAATTAATATAAGACACTAATAAAATTTATTAAATTTCAAATTACATAATAAAATATCACATAATTTAGTCTCCTTCATAACAATACGTGCATACAAAAATTTGATGTCCTCCACATATATACCTGTAGTATACACCTTTTGCTTCATGCTTAGGACCAAGAAGATGAGTAACAATATTGGAAAAAGTGTTCCTTTAAAAATTTGATTTTAATGGTTGATTGACCCAAATAGTGCCATAATCTTTTCCCAAAAAGATAAAACAAATTTAAGGATGGGTCAAATTGTCCTGAAATTCTAAAATGACGTGCATTATTGTGAACAGAACAACAATACAACTTAACAGAATAGAACCACTTTGAAGACAATTAGTTCAACAATGAATGGGAGGTTATCTGGACTTTGGTGGGGCAAATTCTAGAATTGCATGTGTATTACACCAAAATGTACTGCTCGGGTTCGATTGACCCAAGTGTTACCATTTGAGGGTTAATCTAAAATTGATTATGTTCTTAATAAGATCCTTATTTCTTCTCATAATCCTTTATTTGTATTTATACATTATTTAATTTTCCAACATGTTATAAATTTTTCTTTTTATATAAAATTTGTTCTTTTTGGGCATTTTCAAAATTATTAATAGAACATTTTTACACCTGTCCCCATTTGTATAATTTTTGCTCGTCAAATTTATCCAGACAAATAAGGTATTTCTTATTGTTACTCAAGAAGTTATTTGTTACAGTTGTTAGTTGGACAAGTACGTTAAGATGTCACATAAGGTGAAAATATAAATAAAGTACAGATCAAGAAATATCTAATAGTTTTTTCTACACACAACACAAGAAAAATAAGCAAAGCCACCAACAAATAACTTCTTGGCTGATAAAAAGAAATACCTCATTTTGTCAGGGTAAATTTGACAAGTCAAAATTATACAAATGTAGAGAGGTGGTGTAAAATTGTGCTATTAATAATTTAGAAAAAGACCAAAAAGTTATATAAAAAAGAAAAATTTATGATGTATTATAAAACAAAATAATCTATTGACAATTTACATTTACATGACAATATCTCATAGCTACATTTTTTTTTCCAAATCCTACACTATTTCATACAATGTATTTGCAATTATATTGAAAGATGATATCTTAATCTTCTATTTGTATAGGTCAATTTTAAAATGTATTACAGTGTTTATTTTGGGGATGATTTTAAATTCCATTGATAAATGTAAAGTAATTATAATGTACAAACACTAGATATCCATGTTAACTGTTAAAAAATAAAATTTTTGATAAAAACTTTTTTTTTTCTCTTCCTTAATCATATAATAAAATTTTTAATTACTTCTCTATTCATAAATACATTTGTTTTAGAATTAATATTGAAATAATATGTTATTAGAAGAACCATTAAATCGATGAACTCAAAATATTCCATAAAAATTAATATTAAAATGTCAATATATTAAGTTTTAGTATTTTCCTGAAAGTCTGTCATGATTATAACTGGAGACTGGATTTTTGTGCAGTAAAAATCTGAAAAATGTGCAGTAAAAAACTCAAAATGTGCAAAATCGTGCAGTAAAAACCCAAAATACGTAAAGTTGTCCAATTAACACCTAAAATGTGCAAAATCATCAAAATTGTTTAATTTATAATATTAAACGAGAATGAGTACTAAAATATAATACTAAAATATAATATAATATTAAAATATAAAATGAGTTAATTAAACGAGAGATAAAAGAGAAAAAAAAATTAAAATGTTACATTGAAAATAAAATTCCAGATTAAAATCACCAAACAACAACAATATATAATATAATACAACAATAAATTATAATTAACCTAAATCTCAAAGGAGGTTAAATTTAAACAATAATAAGGATTATGTAAATCTAATATTTACTTAGTGCCATATTTAACAACCCATAAACACTTGAATGAAGCATCTATTAATTTTTCTCTCTACAGAATAAGGTCTCAATAATTAACAAGTAAATAATCGGATATATTTGTCTGAATTGTCCTTAAATTGGTTAATTGGTTAATTGTCTGACAAACAAGGAATGAGATAATGCAGAATGTTGAAGGTTTGAAGGAGGGAATTATAGGTACCTACATATTATATAGACCAGACCAATTTTAGATATTTAACTTTTATTAAAATTGATAATGGAACCTTTATTTTTTAATCTATTGAAATTTCCAATATTATACATTCCAAAAATTTTTAACTAAAATTTTAAGAAATTTTAGGAATACACTGTAATACAATATTTAAGATTTTCAAGTGTTGAAATATTATTATTGAAGCTGTTACTAAATCATAAAAATAAATATTAAATTATAAAAAAAAAACTTTCTAAAAATCATATAATTCTTTGATAGGAATATTTTTTCCCATACCTGTTTTACAATGAAAGTCTACAAATGATTTTGTATCACTTTTCGTACAGAATTTTGGTGTACAGAACTTTATTATCAAATTTCAACTCCATGGGATATTTTTATATCCAGATTTTAATTTTTGACGAGAGACCAGATTTCACTTTTTGCCTTATTATTATTTTGTTTTTATTATAATGAAATTACTACTAACCAAAGCCGGAGGGAATACTGAAGGGCTGAATGAATCAGTGAAAATTCAAGTCAAAACAATAAAAATATAATGACTTACTAACAAAATAGCTTATTTTAAGAAAGTAGCTTTTTATTATCCACTACTTAAGGGAAGTTTTATTACAAGAATATTTCTCACTTGTGTTTACTTCTTCCTTTTTCACAGAATTATTTACCTTCCTCATATTTTTTTTATCTTGAATAATGATCCAACTTTGAAAAGCATAGTAAAGTAAAAAAGTAAATATTTATATATTTGTATATTCCCACATACATTTGTATTTGTAAATTTTCTAATTTATCACAAAAATGTGCAATTTAATGTAACAAAAATCAAAATCATACTGTTTAAGCTAAAAACAGCTAAACATGCAATTCCGTGCTATATAAAATTTAAATATGTTATAATACAAATCCTGAAACGGATAGATATTTGGGTCTGCTACATGCAATTGGGTAGAGTTTTTACAAGCAAACAAATAAAATGTGCAATAACATGAAAATCCAGTCTATAATTATAACATTAGTTGATCATGGTAGAGTTATAAAATATTTTTGTACTTATCTTAGTTTTTTTTTTCAGGTATTCAAAAGCAGTCAATGCTTCACATCAGAGGTTTTTTGATCCTATCAAGAAGAAATTCAGCCTCAAACCATGAATTTCGAAGCCTTGTTGATTTATACATTTGTGCAATTATGTTTAGTTATACTGATAGACAAGTACCATTCACTATCAATTAGGCTTTGGAAATTTCCTAAAGATCAATTCATTCTCACCAATCCTGTATTTGGCATCATCCAAGATTTACATTAATACAGGTTTTAAAAATTAAACTGACATTTCTGAATCATTAAATACATCTAGGATAAGATAGAGCTAGAAGGAAAAGTGAGATAAGTCTGGGAAGATATCCTAGTTAGAGTACTTAATCAGCGGAAAACTACGTCAACTTCATCAGCAGATATGGATTGTTTCAAAATAGACTGAACTGATATGCTAATTATGTACAATTTCATACCCATTTGCAATATTTTGATACTTTTAAGATCCTAATAAATGTTATTCAAATGGTATACACATATCATTGAATAGTATCTCATAGTAATAAAATTTTGTAAGGGATTACATTTTCAATGAACAATTTTACAGTCACCTTGCTGCATGTGAATATATTCACATACACTAAGTTCAATACATATACTAAATTAAATAGTTGGTGAACAAAATATAATCAAAAAGGTTTGGATTTGTTTATTTTTACCCGTTTTGGTAAGGGTTAAATTTAGCTCCTTCATGTTGCCTCGGCTCTTCCTACTAACAAGCAATGTTTTGGACTTGTTATGCTAGAAAAATCAACTCTAAACTGCTATAATATATATAAATTATTTATGCTTGGTAAATAGTTGGTATTATTAATGAGTTGATAGGAACAATCCATTATCATTAATTTCTACATTGTGCGATTTAACAAATATGTATTTATTTTATTTTTGCATTCTCAAGAACAAAATGTGCTTAAAAGTGTCCTTAGAGCTAGTGTTTAAATTTAAAATAATTACTTTTTGTGATTTTTTTATCATTGAATGAATTAAATATTTATTTCTAATAAACTAATACAAATTTTCTGATAAAATTGGCCAATATATATATTTTCATTTGATTAAAGAATTCATTATATACAATATTCTTTTTAAATATTTAAAATAAAAAGCTCATTACTTTTAATGAATTGGAAAATTAATATGATTGCTAAATTTGAGGGAACAATTTATAATACCAAGAGCTCCGTCCTGATCAAAACATTGATTGTATTTTTACATATCTGCTGACATATCAATTAAAATATTACGTAATTCTATTTCCTTATTTGGGAACATAACTTTTAAAAATTGTTAAATTTTATCTATATTGTTTATTAAATTTTTATTTTAAAAGTTAGAAACTTAATTGTTTTCGTCTGATAAAATAGTTTTTTGAAGATTTTTTTATAACCTTTAAGTTGCTCCAATTATAAATTTAATAAATGAAAATAAAATGTGGGTGAAAATTTGATTTTAGAGCAAAATATAAATAAACCAGATATGTTTGTATTTACATAACTGTATGCTTTAGAAACAATCCGCTATGAAAAAGTTTTGATTTTATTAACTCCCTTGTATTTTATTTACTTTTCAAACATAAACTAGAATAAAGTTTATTTTCTATTCTAGAAGTAACACTGCTCATACAGACGTTGTTCTGTTTCTAAGTGTGAGGGAAATTATATTTTATGTATGTTTTAAAATAAATCTTGTATTTGATTTTTATTATGAAAATGTATTTTGTATATCTTTGTAAAGTAATAAGTCTCTGCAATATGTAGAACTTTGGTTTGACTTCTAATAATGAGTATTGCTGTAAAAATGGAACTAGGCCTTTTAGACAAATCCTGTAAAATGAGCTTTATGTAAGCATTTATTTTTTTAAAAAAATTGTAAATATGTAGAAGATTAATGTTATGTTTAAGCTATAATAATTTATATCTAAAAATGTTTTTAGTTTTTACGTTATTAGACTTGGTAGGAAATTGAATATTATTAAATTTATGAAGCATTTTTTATTAGTATATATTCCTCAAATATCAAATGCCTGATGGTGTGGATTTGGTTAAATATTTCTGAATCAGTACGGAATCACACTAACTAAGGTGATATTGGGATAATAAAATAAATTTCTGATTTGTATTGGACCTTGTCTGAAATGTTTCCTGTACAAATCTGACAAATATGTTTGGTATAAGTTTCCTATTAAAACTTATAAAGTTTAAGTAAAGTTTATGGGTAAAATTAGAGCATTACTGTTAAAGAAAATAGTGATGTAAAAATAGAATAGGTTAGAACAAAATTTTAAATAACTATTGCATGTTGCAGAAAAGGTAATGGTTGTAAGAATGATTTGATGATAATAAAAAAATTAATAATAAAATATTGACATTAGTAAAGCCAGTAAATATCAAACTAAAAAGTTCCTTATATTGAAATTAATTGTAAAAAAAACATTACAATTTTTCATTTAATTTAAAAATTAGCATACTCATACAGTCCAGGTGAAAACCAGTTTATGTAATTTTTTTTTTATGCAAAGATTTTTTTTTAGAAAAGAAATCCAATTATTTTAAACTTAAAAAGGAAAAAGAAAAAAACACTATATTTCATTATAATAAATTTAAGTGAATATTCCTTATTTATTTATCAAATGGTTATATGTACTAATTTTTTGAAAAATGAAAAGTAATTTCTCTCATTTTTTTTTTAATTACTTTTAAGGTCTTTTTAAGAAATATCATGTTCCAGGTAAAGGGATTTTATTCAAAATTTATTTAAGTTTTTGTTATTTTAATCGTAAGTTAAAGTACATATGAAAACATTTATATATTGATAGCTTACATAAATGGGATTTATATTTTTCATGAAGATAATACTTTCATGAATCAAGAACAACATATTTGGAACTTAAGAACATTTGTAAAAAGTAAAATGAAATGGCAACATTAAATATTGTGAAATATGTGTTTACATTTTCAATTGGTCACTATTAATTTCTGTGTGTTTATAGTTTTAAATTCTTTAATATAACTTTTGAAAATTAGGTAAACTCCTAAAATATTTCTATGCCTCTTTCTTGCCTTTCTAATTAGTTAATAATGATAAAAATAAAAACAAAATAAAATATCAATTTTAAAGTCCTCACCATTGCCATGTGTTTCATAAACAGTGACAAAAAGAAAATAGCATCATATTTTCAAATAAAGTGCTCTAATTTCATCCAGAATTCATTACAAAACTTTGTTTGAATATCCAAAATAGCCGTATTAAAACTCTGCCTTGCTTATCAGTGCCTTTTAAAATATTTGCCATAATAGCACTTTCTAGAAAATTTATTATTAGTTTAATAGTTAAACATAATTCACAAAGTTATAGATTGCAGGAGAGCAAATCTCTAATTGTTCAGTTTTAGGTATTTTGTATATAGTAATCAATCAAGCTATAAGTGCACATTAGTATTTGTATTTATATTAATTTTTAGTTACACCTGTTGATGGAATAAATAATTTTCAATAAAAATCATCAATCAACTCATTTTAACATGTTTTCTGCCTTGGTACTTTTCAAAATTATGAGATGTTGAGCCAATTTAATTAAATTTTATTGTATATATTATAAACACTCTAATTATAATATTTAGTAATCATAAAAAAATAACATTTTTAAAAAATAAGTTATAGCAAATTATCTCATATTTGGCTTATGTAACAGAAAGCTCTTGTGAAAACGAACTTGTGCACCGGCACCAATAATAATAAATAAGTTTTCTGTTCTTTTATCATATCTGAACAATTATGGCAAGTAAAAAAAATAAAGAAATGACTTACAGTTGGTCCTAGTCTATAATCTCAACTAAAAAATAACTTGTAGTAAATGTCCTAGGAAAAACGTGTACCAGTTGACAGTCTTCATGCTAATATTTTCAGTACATATTTGACAAAGTTTGTAACGGTATTTTCGTAATATAAGTCTTCACCAACCATTTTATTTCAGTAAAATTTTATAAATTACTACTGTGCACTTTGTAGCAATCTTTTAAATAGGTACTTACAGAATGAATAAAGTAGTCTGTGATATAATGTCGATAGATAAAAAATATAAATTATTCTAGAGCTATAGTTGTTATGTTGATAAATATTTAAGTTGGTGTAATTTTATTTCTAATTTTATAAGTTATTTTTAATTTTTTGTAAATAAAATTTTGTTTTTCTGTATCTTTGTACAGTTTTACTTCCCTTCAATGAAGTAATGATGTAGAAACTATTGCCTGATTTAATTTGTTTTTAATCTGTAACTTAATCTAACAGTAATGAAAAAATAATACATTCAAAAATATATTAAATTTAAGCAAAATGTTAGTTGATAAGTTCTAATAAATCCATTAAACTGTTATATATTGTTGATTTCTTTTTTATTATATATCTAATACCTATGTTAAATTAATAAAATTTTAGTTTGATAAAATCAACATGTCTATACTAAAATATGAAACCTATAATTCTTTTCTATGACATCAAGTACTTAAGATGAAAAAGAAAAATGCTTATTATCAGGATTTTTTTTAATATCATTTGCAATCCTTATTGAATTCAAGCCAATTTTACCAGCATACTCTATATCTGGATATCATGGGATTCTGTATTATTTTCTGCATAGATGTTTGCTCCTTTAATTCAATGTTGTTCGGAAAAGAGGTTTATGTTATTATTTTACTGTGGATAAATTCCAATTTAACTTTAAATATACCTAATTTAATTAAGAAGGAAATATTATTCATTAATAACAAGGGGCTTCCCAATATGTGATTTCTGATGTTATAAAAATAAATTACTACATTCTACAAATATTGAAATGTTACTGGATGTCACCTAGATATAAGCTGTTTAGAAATTAGGAAAAAAAAGTTAACTGTAATTAACTACAGTAGATGCCAAGATGGCTGAGCATGAATCATTACCCGAAATACCATTGTTAAGTCTAGTGGCACCAGTTTGAATCTAGCCTGGGCTGCTTGAAATTTATTTATTCATTGAAATTTATTTGGTAGACCCACAGAATAAATCTTCACCTGCCCATTCTGGTTCTAACTAGTTCTAATAGGTTGGTTGTAATTCTAGGCACCTCTACAAGCACTTCTCCTCAAATAAAGTTAGAGGGTTGAAATTTTATATGTAAATTGTGTTGGTGTAAGTGAAGTACCTTAAAGGTATCTCCGATTTTTTCGATCAACATTTTAATTTTTGTGCATTTTTCACCAAAAAACCTTATTTTCAAAAGACCTTAGTGGTGGTGGCATTGCTCTTCATATACTTGTTATTATATTTTTGATTAATAACCTAACCTGGTTCCACTACAACCCATGAAGGTTTTTGGGTCCAGTAGTATATAGAGAAGGTACTGTTTCTTGGTCAATGGTTGTTAAAGAAGGTGATTTGACTGAGATTACGCTCAAGTGCCAGGTTTTCCCCCTTTTTTTCAATTATTCAATTAATAATGGTGGCACATTTAATATTCACTTTATAGAGGCTGGGTCGCTCCAGGAGGATCTTTTGACCCCAGGGCCGATCCAGGACTGATGAAACAGAATCAATAATTTATCTGCCACAAGGATAGATTCGAAACTGGGACCTTGAGCTTGACCTTTTATTATTAGTGAATGCTCGACGCTCTACTACTGAGCTACCCCAGGGGTGTCCAGAAGAGCGCAAGTTGCACCACCAAACATTTTAAGGAGGGTATATTTTGGTGAGTTTTTGAATTTTTGAGGGTGGCACATTTCAACAGGGTTATGAATTTTCAGAAGAAAAAGTTCCAGATTAAGATACAAGAAGAAAAAATCGAACAGACCGCAGCAAGTGTAATTGTGTGTGATCTACGATATTTAATATTGAGCAATAAAATATCTTGGCAAGGGGATGGGGTAGGTTATTGCGTCATTGACTTTGGGGGGGATGGGTATTTCTGATCTACCCCACTCTCATTCTTTTGTATTGTTACTCTTTCCCCAATGAAAAAAAAAATATATATATATATATATATATATATATATATATATATATATATATATATATATATATATATATATATATATATATAATAAATATCTACTTAGGCAAAATAAATTAATTAGTAAAGTATATTAGTAGGAATTTATTACTGAGGCATGAAGGATTTTGAAAGGATCAGTAAAATTCAAATTAGTTTTTCAGCACATTTAATATTTTTGTCTTAGCTAGCGATAATCCAAGCATTTAATTATTTCTTTTAAAAATAAACCTGTGAAAGATATATTGTTCATTATTATTATTTTATTTAAAATTATTAACTTAGTTAAATAATAATTTTGGGAAACCTATTACAATATTGATAATTATGAAATATCATAATAATCATGATCAATTTGGCTTTATACATAAACTTTATCAATTAAAAAAATAATCTACTAATTTAAAGATACTTATGTTTATAAACATACAATATTTATATACTTAATATAATACATAATTATTAAACCACACACAAACATACATATATTTGTTTTCTTAAATTTATGAAAAATGATCACAGCCACAATGAGTTTTGTTACTTTTTTATTATAACGATTTTTTAATTGAATAACAAATGAAACATATTTTGTTGACTTTTAAATTTATCCTTTTTATTTTATTACAGAATCTTGAAAAAGTGATCATAGCAGGTCCTTAATGTTTTCATTATCCTAGTTAAAAACTAAACTGTTTAGTTTTTTTAAGTTTACTTTTCTTGCAGCAAAATAAAAAAAATAAAATATATATTCTACTTTCAAATACAGTGGTATTATGTTTGTTGAAGCTGCACTCTGGAGTGCTTCCTTCAAGTTATACTGATTCAATTCTGAATTATATCTATATTTCATATCATAGTTAATTTTTTTTACTTTCACAGTATTGTAAATATAATAGATGAGTCGCTTATTGAAAGTTGAACCTTAATAATGAAAATTGAACTCTAGTAGATTTTTATCAAAATTAAGATAAGTATCAATTCCCATTTAAATCACCCAATGGATCTGATGGTGTAATTATCTTTTTCCATCATCTATTCGACAATAATAGGCAAATAGAAAATAAATGAAGATAATAATTAGATTTTGTCAATAAAAACCACTAAAAATCTTCAAATAGTTATGAATCAATAATTAGTCAACATTTCAAGACAACGGACTATGACAACAAAAACTAAGATTACACAAATGGAGGCCAGAGAAAGCACTCCTCACATCTACAGTTTAAGTACATCACTCCACAATAGATGATCATGCATTAAAGGAAAATAGAGGTAACTGTGAAGCTGAGAAAGCTTACTCAGCCTTCTGATTATTCATTATAATAAATTAACTCCTTCAATATCCTAAAACAACATAGTACTAAACAGATAATAATCCGTTATGCTCAGTTGTATTTTACTAGATGTTGGAAAATTCTTCCAAACTTCTGGAGAGCCAAGGGTGCTTGAGATGGAAAGAACAGAAAATATCTGTATGTAAAATGGGTTGAGGACATCGGCCCATCATAAATGGCAACATTCAAAATAAGAAAGAATTGGTAAATTATTATTTATTCTTATACATTTTTTTTGTATGTATCATTAAACGAATAGTTAAATTTTAAATTAAATAAATTTAAACATTTGGAAGTGGTAGGAAAAATGACATTTGATTATTGATGATCCAATGATCCTGGTTTGAACATAATAATTTTGTTTGAAGAAAAATAATTAGGTCTAATGTTATGAAATGAAAACATTTTGAAATTGTTGCCATGAATCACTATAATTTTATTTTACCTTGCCTCTTGAAAGATGTTTCATTTGTAAGCCAATACTATGAATCTAGTAATATTTACAAAAGTAATAACAGTATAAACTATCGAATATAAGAAAATGAACACACATAGAATCGTAAAAATCTGAAAATTTGTACATTAAGTAGAGATGAAACTATTCACAACAAAACAAACACTTAAGACCTTATTAAAAATGAGGTATAGACAACATTATGAGCAAAAGTTACATTATTAACAGCCTATATGAGAAATATAATTTTAATTAATGCATTGCATTATTTACAAATATTTTAAATTACATTAAAATTTTTATACAATTATTTATAGAACTATAAATATTACAAAAAAATATATTTACTTATACACATTCACAATCAAGGAAATAGATTTTTTGTTCCAAAGTAGAGATTTAAATCTGTGAAATACAATGTTTAAAAATAAATTAAATCAACTTTTATAATTAATTTTATTTACAAACACTTTACATAGTTATTATGTCAAAACCAATATGCAGTTTTTAAGATTTTTTTTTTATGAAAAAGAGATTTTTTCAGAACTTGTAAAAAAATATCATTTAATGATTAAAAATAATTGGTCAATATTTAAATAATTTTAATAATATTGCATAAATTTACCAACAACATTTTAATTATTATTAATATTATTAAAATATTCGATGTGTATATTAATGAAACAGACTGTTTCTATGATATTCAGTTTGAAAATAACATATATTACTATTTAGGCATACTGTTACTAAAGGTTATTGATATAACCTTTTTAAGGTTTTTATTGATTTTTTACAAGTTAAAGTTAACCTCCAATTTAATTTTCACTTCAATGTCTTTGAACTAATTCAAAGTTCAATATTTTTTTCATAGGGTTAGGTCTCTAAAATATTTCATTCAACACAATCTGACACCTAGTCGTCAGAATTGATCAAGTGAGTAGTCAAAGTTGATTATTAAATATTCAATTTTAAAAATTAATAATATTTACTAATCCTCCAATGAATATAACTGATCTGAAATATTCAGTATCGTACATCTTTGAACTGAAAAAAAAACCCTGTTTCTAATTGAGAGGTAATATCTTGGATAGATCACACGTATTTTTGATAATTTCTTTGTTATTTAGAGAACATAAAAATGTAAATGATATCAGAGACCCCATGGATAATGTAGTAAAGAAAAGTATTTGATATAACACAGGTAACCGAATATTTAAAAAAAAATCAATTCTGGTGATAAAAAACATTCTGGAAGTGCAAAGATGGATTTTTTTTTTTTACAAAGTATGTTGATTTATCTAATGTAATTCTTGAAAACTCATAATGAAAACATCTAAAAGATCACATTAATTATTTGTGTACACATGTAACAGTTAAAGACAGAATGAAAATCTAATTTAAAATAATAATGTGAGATTATAATTGGAAACATTCTTACCACACAGCCTTATGTATCCAAAATGCAGACAAAGAATAAACCTGTCAACGTTTTGCCAATTTAGGCATCATAAGGACAGAAAAGAACTGCAATTCGAGGATCATATCACTCCATGACATCCAATCATGTAATCCATGAATGATTATTGATTGAATGATCCATGAATGATCATCGATTTGCTTTTCTTTTCTGACAGTTTTATTCTTTGCAAACATTTTAAAATATAAGACTATATGGTTGGAT